CTTTTTCAAATACCTATATCTTTTTATCCGGATATCGTATGAACGAACGGTTAAGAGTATTGGAAACTAGATTCCAAGACCTTCAATTTGATATATAATATGTCCCAAAAAGACCTCATATAACACACGAAATGTATTGCTCAAAAAGCTTTAGTGACACACCTACTTGCCAACTATGCAGTCTGTGCAGTCTTGCAAAACTACAAATATCTCTCTACCCCGATGTCGTATCGAAGAGCGGTTTAATGCATTGGAAACTAGACTCGTAGATCTTCAATTTGATATGTAGATCATCCATTGATTCCAAGTATATTGGGAGAAAAGTGCATCTACATTTGACCTAAATGTCAGCAAATTATAAATGGAACTTGTGATGACCTTTTCCAACTTTTGTTCCACAACTCGCTTGACTTCAAAACATAACACCAACTATCGTACGACTAAAATAACTCATAATATAATCTCGTTATAATGTTAATAACCCTAGTATCACCCCAAAAGTACATGGTAAAATATTCCAACTTGTCGACTTTCGACGAAACTTATTTTCTTCAATTCGTTTAGCTTCTAAGCCTTCAAACCCTCTTGCTACTTGGTACTAATGATCTTAAATATTTGTAACCTCCACATTAACATGATGAACTAACTTTGTAAACTTTTAAAAGATGATTCCCTTTCTGATCTCACATTAATTGACTTATGACGTACTCTTACATACGATAACACGGGGTGTAACAAAGACCCTCAAACACTACCACACAGGAATGATGAACTCGGTCGACCACTGTAGAATCACCCACCGGTACAGATACATAAACAGGAATACCCAAAGCATCACTAGGCATAGCCAGGTAGGGTATAAAATAGGACAACACATATGAATACGTAGACCCAGGGTCAAATAGCACTGAAGCATCCCAATCACAGACCAGAATAGTACCTGTAATAACAGCATATGACGACTCAGCCTCTGGCCTGGCTGGCAAAGCATAACACCGGGGCTGGGCCCCACCTCCCTGAGCATGTCTCTGGGACGATCGGCTACTGGCTGACCCCTACCTCTGGCGGTCCGAGCTCCACCTCTACGGTCTCTACCTCCACCTCTATGATCCCTACCCCCGCCTCTAGCTGGTTGGGCACGCTGTGGATCACCTGGTGCCTGAATCATGGGGCGAGGACCCTGCTGCTGAGAACTACCCGAGGCTCGAGGGCAAAATCTGACAATGTGACTCGGGTCACCACAACCATAACAAGCCCGCGGCTGCTGAGACTGCTGGCCCTGTCGACCTGAATATCCTCCCCGGAAACTCTGAAGTGGCGGTGCACTGATGGGCGGCTGATCAAAATAATGCTGCTGAGAACCACCACCGCCTGGAGTACCATGAGAGACCTGGAGTGCTGACTGAAAGGGCCTCGGTGGATGGCCTCTACCATAAGAATCCCTACCTCCAGACGAGGTACCACTGAACCTACCAAAATGACAAGGCCTCTTATCCGACCCCTGACCACCTCCCCGTGCAAGAGCCATCTTAACTCTGCGGGCCGCATTGGCCGCCTCCTGAAAAGAAATCTCACTACCAGCTCCCATAGCCATCTGGAGACGGATCGACTGAATCAATCCATCAATAAACCTCCGCACCCTCTCTCGCTCTGTGGGGAGTATAACAATAGCATGGCGGGCTAGATCAATGAACCGAGTCTCATACTGTGTAACTGTCATAGAGCCCTGCTGGAGGCGCTCAAACTGCCTGCGAAAAGCCTCTCGCTGAGTCACTGGGAGAAACTTCTCCAAAAACAACTCTGCAAACTGGTCCCAAGTCAATGATGGCGACCCTGCTGGTCTGGATAAACAATAGTCCCTCCACCAAGTCTTGGCGGATCCTGCTAGTCGAAAGGTGGAGAAGTCGACCCCATTGGTCTCCACAATACCCATAGTCCGAAGGATCTCATGGCAGCCAAATAAGAAATCCTGTGGATCCTCTGATGAAGTACCGCTGAATGTGGTGGTGAAGAGCTTGGAGAACCTATCAAGCCTCCACAAAGCATCTGAGGACATAGCCGCTCCATCGCCGGCCTGGGTAACAATACCTGGCCGAACTGCCACAGCTGGCTGAACCGCTGGAACCTGAGCCTGGGGAGCTACCTGCTCCGGAGTACGTGCAGTAGGAGTCTGAACTCCTCCTCCAACCTGAGAAGTGGCTGGTGCTACTGGAAGCAAACCCGCTCTAGTGACACTCTCCACAAAGCCTACCAATCTGACCAGAGCGTCCTGAAGAATTGGGGTGGCTATGAACCCCTCTGGGACCTGAGCTGGGCGCACCGGAGCTGCTGGGGCTGGAACCTCCTCGTCATAATCAACATGAGGCTCCACCTCTGGGACTGCCACTTGGGGCTGAGCTCTGCCCCTGCCTCGGCCTCTGGCACGACCTCGGCCTCGCCCTCTGCCCCTCGTAGGAACTGCTGCTGGGGGCTCGGGCTGCTGCGCGGTAGAAGAGGAAGCACATGTTCTCGCCATCTGCGAAAGAACAGAGTGGAAAGATAATCAGTATTTGAGAAATAGAATCGCACGACAAGAAAGAACAAAGTGAAATTTTCCTAACTCCGTAGCCTCTGGGGAATAAATACAGACGTCTCCGTACCGATCCCTCAGACTCTACTAAGTTTGTCCGTGAGTAGCGAGACCTATGTAACCTAGCGCTCTGATACCAACTTGTCACGACCCGGATTTCCCACCATCGGGAGTCGTGATGGCGCCTACTATCGGAGCTAGGCAAGCCAAGCATTAAAACATTCTCTGATGACATCTCAACAATATAAATAAAACGAGTCATTTAAATAAAAGCGGAAGTCTTAAAAGCATAGATAATTGAAAACCAAAATGCGGAAGTTCAATAACATCTCTACCCAGATCCGGTGTCACTAACTCACGAACTACTAAAGAGTGCTAAAAACAAGTCTGAATAGAAGTACATCAATGTTTGTCTCGTTACAAGGAAAACAAACTAATAACATAAAAGGGACTCCGGCCTGCGGACGCCAGCTAGGATACCTCGAAAGTCCCTGGACTGAAGTCAGCTCCCAATCAACTACTGCTGTGGTCCAAAAGCTGCTCCTAGATCTGTGCAAAAAGATGCACAGAGTGTAGCATCGACACAACCGACCCCATGTGCTGGTAAGTGCCTGGCCTAACCCCGGCGAAGTAGTGACGAGGCTAGACAGGACTACCAAACCAACCTGTGCAGTTCAATATATATATATGCAAAACAAAAGGAAAGTCATACAGAAAATAAACAGCTAAGAGGGAGGGGAGCATACTATGGGGAAGTACAGTCCGAATATAAAGTCAGCAATTTAAGCAANNAGTACAGTCCGAATATAAGTCAGCAATTTAAGCAAGAAACCGTGCAATAATAATATTAATGAGAGCAGAAATTACAGTTGCACGGCATCAACCTTCGTGCTTTTACTCTCATTCTCACCAAAAGCAATCAAATAAAGTGCACGGCATCAACCTTCGTGCTTTTTCCTCACATAACTCTCATATCATGGCACGGAATAATCCTTCGTGCAATTGTAATCAAATCAGGGCACGGAATGTTCCTTCGTGCATAAATAATCAAAACGTGCCACGGAATGACCCTTCGTGCAAATATAATCAAAACATGGCACGGAATGACCCTTCGTGCAAATATAATCAAAACATGGCACAGAATGACCCTTCGTGCATAAATAATCAAAGCATGGCACGGAATGACCCTTCGTGCAAATATAATCAAAACATGGCACGGAATGACCCTTCGTGCATAATCACTCTTCCTCACCCAATCAACAATCACAACCAAACGGGGCGAGGGGATAGACAAATAATAAGAAATATCCCGGTAAGGGAAAACACAAGTAAACAGCTAAATCCCGGCAAGGGAGCAACAACAATAACTTTCACATCCCGGCAAGGGAGATAATCAATATACACAAACCATCCCGGCAAAGGATTAATCATATCTCTTTCTATTTCTTTCATTTCTTACTCAATAGTCTTTTTATCGTTCGAGCCAACGCTCCAATGAATTTACAATTCATAATTAGTCTCCTTACTCTTCACATTACATAGAATTCATCAATTAAGCATGGAAGAGTCGCAACAAAATTAGATTACATACAAGTAAGGACTCACGGTCATGCTAGACACCAGTGTATAGATACTCGTCACCATGCCTATACACCGTACTCAACATTTTGCAATTAGCAAAAACAATACTCTAATCCTATTCCCTCAAGCCAAAGTTAGATCAAACACTTACCTCGGTCCAAAGAATAGCATTCAACCCTCAAATACCGCCTTTCCTCTAAAATCCGACTCCGAAACCACGATATCTAGGCATAATTAATTTAATAATATCAATAAAGACTCAATAACAAAATCCCATAACCTAGATATGAAGTTTCTAGCATCCCTCCGAAAATACCAAAATTCGACACCGGGCCCACATGGTCCAAACACGAGGCTCGGACCAAAACCCAATCATCCATAACCCCACGAGTTCAAATATATAATTTGTGTTAAGATTCGCCCCCAAATTGAGGTTGAATCACCCAAAGTTCTCAAAAAACCTAACTCTACCCAAAACCCTTAATTTCTACTTTGATTTCATGATTTAGGTCTAGGATTTCAGTAATTAATGAAGAAGAGTGAAGGAATTAGGTGGGAAATTACTCACCCAAAGACTTTGGTAAAGAAGAGCTTCAAAAATCGCCCCTAGAGCTTGGAAAAGACAAGTTTTATGAAAGAATGGGAATAATCCCGTAACTATTCTATTTTTGAACTTTAAAAATCACTGGGCAAAAATGCCCTTCACGTTCGCGGGAAAGGGGCCGCGTTCGTGAAGGGTAAGCTGGGTCTGCATCGCGATCGCGTGGGAGGAAACGCGAACGCGTAGAAGGAAAAAGGCTGGGGTCCTGGGTTTACTCTACGCGAACGCGTGGGTACATACGCGGACGCGATGAAGGGTAAGCTGATACTATGCGAACGCGAGGACGAGTTCCCGAACGCAATGGGAATTACTGGGAGGGCCTATGTTGGCCTACGCTATCGCGTAAGGGGCACGCGAACGCGAAGAAGGGGACTCAGTGGGCATCGCGAACGCATAAGGAAGAACGCGAACGCGTAGAACAAATGGGTGCCTGCAACAGCTGAAGGAAATATGCAATATTTCTAAGTGCAAAAACCACTCCGAACCACCTCCGAATCACTCCCGAGCCCTCGGGGCTCCTAACCAAACACACACACTAACTCAATAATATCCTACGAACTTAACCGAGCGATCAAATCGCCAAGATAACATCATATACATAGAGTCAAGCCTCAAATCACAAGATTTCTTCCAACTTTTTCATCAAACACAAATTTTCCATTTTTAAGTCCGAAACACGTCAAACGACGTCCATTTTCAACCAAACTTCACAGAAAGCGCTTAAACCATATATAAGACTTGTACCGGGCGTCTGAACCAAAATACAAGCCCGATACCACAGTCTTTTAATCAAATTTTCATTTCCATTTTCCTTAATAATTTCAGAAAAACAATTTCACAAAAAAATTCTTTTCTCGGGCTCTAGACCTCGAAATTCGACTCCGGGCATATGCCCGAGTCCCATATTTTTCTACGGACCCTCCGGGACCATCAAATCACGGGTCCGGGTCCGGGTCCGTTTACCAAAAATGTTGACCAAAATTAACTTTAATCATTTTAAAGCCACATTTTAAAATTTTTCACAGAATTTAACATATAATCTTTCCGGCTACGCGCCCCGACTGCGCACGCGAATCGAGGCAAGTAAAAATGAGATTTTCAAGGCCTCGGAAGCACGTGATGAAAGAGAAAACAGGTGATGACCCTTTGGGTCGTCACAGTAATATTCCTTCTCCTCATACCCCGAATCCTACTTCTCCACCTTCCATACAAGCTCCACAACAGCAGAGAACTACTTCTCCTCCTTCAATCTTGGCACCTCAAGTTTTGCCCTCACAGCCACTTATCACATATCATAGACGAGAAAGACCATCCACTCCTATCCAAAATCCTGGTCCGTCCCACTCTACGTCTGCTTCGGCACTACATCAACCGCAAATGGCTTCTTCTCCACCTCGACCAGAATCCTCTCAGCCTATTCAGTAGGACCCACCAACCCAAACCCAATCAAACTAGCCAGCCACCAAAGTGCACCCAATGATCACTCGATCACAAACTAATAGTCTAAAACCTCGTTAATTTCTCACAACCACTACATCATCTCAAAAAATTCCCATAACCCATAAGCAAGCCAAGCTAATTCCCCACTGGAATTTAGCAATGCAAGCCGAATTTGATGCTCTTGTTTACAACCAGACTTGGGATTTGGTTCGATGTGACTCTTCCAAAAATGTAGTGGATTGTAAGTGGCTATTCCGTATTAAGTATAAACCTGACGGTTCTATTGACGGGTATAAGGCTCGTTTGGTCGCCAAGGGATTTACTCAGCGTCCTGGACTTGATTACCATTCCACCTTAAGTCCAGTAGTCAATCCTGCTACTGTCCGTCTTGTCCTAACTATAGCCACTCAACTTGATTGGCATGTTCATCAACTGGATGTTAACAATGCCTTCTTGCAAGGTAGTCTTGATGAAGAAGTCTATATGCGGCAGCCACCGGGATTTGAAAGTTCTGAGAATCCTACCCATGTATGTCGTCTTCAAAAGGCAATTTATGGCCTCAAGCAGGCTCCTCGTGCTTGGTATACGAAACTCAAAAACTATCTGTTTACTTTGGGTTTTTTAAAATCCCGATCTGATTCCTCGCTCTTCATTTTGCATAAATATGGGTTCATTGTGTACATTTTGGACTATGTTGTTGATATTTTAGTGACCGGTAATCACCAACAAGGTGTTCATTATATCATTGACGCCCTCTCAAAACGTTTTTCATTGAAGGATTTAGGACCTCTTCATTACTTTCTTGGTGTTGAGGTAATTCGTTCCTCTACTGGTCTCTTTCTCTCTCAACAAAAGTACACTATGGACCTACTGCATGAGGTTGCGATGGATAATGCAAAGGTGTTTCTACACCCATGACATGTACTGTTGTTTTTGACCCCTCACCTGATGATCATCTAGTTGATGGTTCTTTTTACCGGCGCATTATTGGTAAGCTTCATTACCTTTCTTTCACTCAACCTGATATAGCTTATGTTGTCAGCAAGTTGTCACAGGATATGCATCAACCGCTTATGTCATATTTGGTTGCTCTTAAGCGGCTTCTACTGGGTGGGAGATCCTCATGATCGCACCTCCACCACTTGTTATGTTTTCTATCTTGGTCGTTCTCCTATTTCATGGTCTTCGAAGAAGCAACGTTCAGTTTCTCGTTCTTCTACAGAGGCTGAATATCGGGCAATTGCAGGTGCTGTTTCCGAGACTAATTGGCTCACCCATCTTCTTCAAGAGCTTCAGTTTCCTTTAACTGTTGTTCCGAGAGTTCTCTGTGACAATGTCATCACCACTTATATTTGTGCCAATCCTGTTTTCCATAGCCGCATGAAGCATGTGGCTATCGACTTCCACTTTGTCCGTGAGCAGGTTGAGCACAAACAGCTTGAAGTTACCCATTTAGATGATGCGGATCAAGTTGTGGAGCTTCTTACAAAGCCTCTTCCACAAGCAGTTTTCAATAAATATTTTTCCAAGTTGGGCGTCGTAAACCTCGATGCCAACTTGCGGGGGCGTAATAACGGCAGTAGCAAGTTATCTCCTTCTGTATAGGACTTTTTGTTTTAATATCTCTTTTGGTGCTTATCAGATTCCTTTTGTTTAGGATTGTTATTCACATAGGTTTCTCTGTATCCTAGATTCTCTCTAAGTTGTTACATTATTCACAGCTTTTGTGTACTACACTTGGCTATATAAAGCCAACCTAATAATCAATATAATATAAGTTCTTCTTCTGCCTTTATCACTCTTTACAATGCGGGTACCGGACACCGGGTGGAAAACCCCAAAAAAAAATACAGAACAAAAAGATAATAGAAGGTTAGTTATATTCTCTTGCCCGTGAATAGGAGCCGGTTAGATGCTTGAATTTTGAATAATTTGAGCAGGTGATCCCACAAATATTACCCATTTGTCCATAGATCTTTTTTTCCTGGAAGTTTTTTTCTTCAAAAAACATGTTTGTCCATGAAAATTTATAAGTTTTTTGGAGATTTTTCGAAAATGAGTTTTTCAAAATGTAAAAAGTGGTTTTGGCCCCTTTTTCAAGATATCCGAATTCTTTTTCCTACTCACAAAACTGCAATATTTTTAATTTTTTTAAGTGAAATATATATCCAAACATAATTTTAAATTTCAAATAGTATTTTTTAACTTAACTTAAAATGTTATTCTTTTTCAAAAACGCCCATTAACTCTTAGCTAGATATCTTAAGTAATTAATATGATGAATACCTCATGTTATTCATAATCGTAGTTCTAACCTTCCGCCTTTACCTGCATTCCGTAATGGGCATTAATCTCATCTTCCCTTTTTCCATAAAGCAATGTGATGATAACTGAATTTCATCTGCAACTTTCAGAATGAATTACTCCATATTTTTTTTTCCATTTGAAAAAGAGTTTACTATGCATCGACATTGTAAAATATATCGACATGATCACATCATTTAACTATGAGGTATGTACTTATTATCAATTTCTATGATAAACATTAATTAGCAATTTAATAAAAGTAAAATTAATCTGCTATCACAAGTTATATTACACTAATATTGTATAAAATTTATCTCCTACATGGGCGAAGTTACTGTTTAACCAAAAAACTGAATATTTGGTTAAAACTAGAATTTAATAGAGAAATCGGGTTACTGATAATCAAGAAATAAGAGATTTTGTGAACAACAATAAAGCAATGAATAAGAGTATATTTCAGTATAATCGGAATGATATTTTGTGTCCTACAGATGTTGTGACTTTCTCCTTTTATAGTCAATTCTAAGAGAAAGTGTAATACCTTTGTCTTAATGAGGCAATTACGAGCAGTAAATGATATTAAAATAAACGTTATTCAATCATTCTTATTAAATACAAATTCTCTAACGTATTTGGCATTTAATGTTGAATTTGGACTCTTTTACGCTATTAGATTCATATCTTCAATTCCTTCTGATCTTCGAGCTTTAAATGGCTCGAACATGTACGAGTCTCGTTTCATCTGGATAATAGCTCGTACCTTTAAGTATCTTCTCTCCCGCATCTATTGTTGCTCGTGTCTTCTAACTGTTTGCCATGCTTTGACTATTTGACCGGTCCACGTGTCATGACATGTCATCTTCAATATTTAAATTCAGTTTTTTCCCAATACAGATAGTCCCCCCACTTTCCATTTATTTATCAATTAAATATTTGGGAAGTGGATCTTTATTAAAAAGGGAATTTTTGCCATAATTAATGCTATGACAGTACTAACGCTTCAGTTGTCTTTTCTATTTAATGCATCGCACACGTGTCCCCTTCTCATTAGCTCTGTAATTCTGCAGCCTTTTTTCAAGGCTTCTTTAACTCCACTATTCACGAAGTGATAGTTGCCTTTATTATAGGCTTTCCATCATTACACTTCTTAATCTTTGACGGTTGCTTTTATATAAACTTAATCCTCCTTCCACAAATTTTTACCTAATATTTCACTTTTTACTTCTATTCACTTCTTCCTCTGTTCACGCCTTTCTACCATGTCATCTTCAAATCCCAACCCTAGGAGAGTCCCAATTCTTGACAGTTTCCCCAATGCCCCTGTGAGACATAGAAGGGGTAGAGGGGGTAGGCTTCGTGGCCTTGGATCCATTCGTGGTGGTACCTCTGGTTCCATCACTCCTTCTTCTAGCTCTGGTATTACTTCTAGAGGTTCTTTCATTAATAGATCTTCCTCTAAAGGCAAAGAATCTTCTGAGTCGATGCAAGAACCTTTGGTCGAAGAAATAGTGCCAACCGATTTATCTTTCGAGCATGATAAAGAATCCCTTCGTGACCAAGTAATTAAATTAGAGAGAGCTGACACTTATCCTTCTTTAATTACTGAACCCTTAATTTCCACTGTTCGAAAAGATTGTTGTTGGAGAGATGACCTTCATATAGCTATTCCTAACCCAAACCAGAGAATATCTTCTTATAGGATTGGTTTTTCCTCTGTTTATACTTATCCCTTTACTTTGGGATTTATTCCTGCTATCGACTCAGTCATACTCGATTTTTGTCGTTTTTTCAAAATTTGTTTGGCTCAAATTGGCCCTCTCGTATGGAGAGCAGTAGCTTGTTTAAGGTATGTATCGGTAAAGGCTGATGTTGATTTTACCTTCTCTCATCTGATTCATCTTTACCACCCCAAGCTGTTTCGCAATGGTGTTTTTACCCTAACCGCAAGAAGTAAAAGGGTTTTGGTAAGCCCTGAAGATGATAAAGATCGAGGCTGGTACACCCGTTATGTTGCGGTACCCACGGTTGATTTGGTGGGTGAATCAAATATTCCTTTCCCTGAGAAATGGAACCTTGCACGTAAGTATTTCTTTCTTGCCGTGTTTGTTTTATTTCAACTCTTTTCTAATTTCATTCTTTTTTGCTTTTTTGTAGCAACCATGGGAGATGTGGAACCCGTTCCTAATTTCCGTGGTTGGGTAGATGCTATTTTGAAGGCCGTGCCTATGGAGGCACGAACCTGGAAATCTATTTCTAACAAACATGGTTGGAAAGTAAAAACTCACGGTATGCGTCTCTTATTGTTTCCCGTATGTTAAATTCTTTCCCCTCTTCTAACTTTTTATCCTTCTTTCTGTCAGGATTTGCTATTCGAGGAATGTCAGCTGAAGTAGCTATTGCCCTTCGAGCTTCTTTTGGTACTCCTCTTTCTTTGGAGAGAGCACAAGCTACGCTGTCAAAGAGGAAAGTTGTTGAAGAGGATTCCGAGGATGATGAAGATGAAGACGCCTCTTTGGCAGTTAGACCTAGAGTCAGGAGACGTATCATTTCTGAAGATGAAGCTGAAATTTCTCCTACCCGTGCCTCCTCTCCGGTTAATACTGTTTCCGATGATGAAACCATCCCCAGGAACACCATTGAATCCACTCAATGTCTCTTCAATGAGGGTTTCGAAAGTG